CCACAATCTACACTCTTTTTTTTTTCTTCTCAATATAACTTTATTTACAGTCACCACTTTTAACACCAGCCATTAGGAAATCAAAAGATTAATTGCATTGGGAAAAATCTGTTGTCAGGGCCTTCTCCTGAATACTGAGAAGCAACAGCCTTGTCTAGAGACTAAGGTGCGCCTGATCCAGGCCATGATCTTTGCAGTTACTTCTTATGCTTCAGAAACCTGGACAATAACTAAGGATGACAGAAGAAGAATTGATGCCTTCGAATAGTGGTGCAGGAGAATAGTCTTAACATACCATAGACTGCCAAGAATACTGTCTCTCCTCTTGGAGAGGGTGAAACCAGGTTTTGCCTTGGAGGCTAGGATTTTGAAGCTCTGTCTCATACTTTGGGCATGTAGCCAGGAGGGATTGCTCCTTGGAGAAGGATGTCATGCTTGGAAGGATGGAGCAACAGTGCAGGAGAGCAAGACCCTGGATAAGATGAATTGATATAATAACTGGGGCATAGGGGATTGGTGTGTTCGAATTAGAATGGTTCAGGACAAGGCAGGGTTCGGAGCTGCTGTACGTAGGGTTGCAGGCGACTTGATGGCACATAACAATAAAAGTAACTAGTAAAATGTATATGAGGTACAGGAGGGGAGGGCTAGGGGCAGAGAGGTGAGGATAATTAAGGGGAGAGGGATTTACTGTTCTGTTTCTTAGAAATTTTTGCATTGATTTATGTTGTGATCTGTTGCAATAAAGCAAACCCTGTCAGCTTCCTGTATGTGCTTAGTGAATATTTATTGAATGAATGCATGCATGTGGCATATTTGTTTTTTAACAAACAGAACCTTGCCATATAAAGATAGATGCAGAATTCTGCAAATCCAATTCTTTTCTGCATAGAGAAGTAGTGTAGAGGCTGATCATGGCTTTAAAATGTTATATTGTATTTGCATTTTTATATTGATATATTTTTCTAATTATAAAAGGTGGAAACCTTTTTCAAGATCAAAAAATAAGTTATAAACTGGAGAAAACAACGTTATAAACTTAAACTCTCTGTATAAATAATAGGTTGATTTGACAATATTAGGTGGTAGATTGAGCTGTAGACCCTGGAATCTGCTAACATTTTTACTGCATATTTCTGGTGAAGGGTAGTATTAATACTGTTCTTTGGAAGAAAGCCTCTGCCTAAAGTGGGCTTTTTACTGCTGCTTAACGTTCATGTCAGTAATGGACTCTTTGTTGTCCTCCCCCCTGTTGTGTTCTGTGTCCCTACGGGACTCTTATAACCAAGTTAGTATATGACCTCGGTTGAAGCAAGCAGAATTCTTCTAACCTCTGAAGAGATCTGATGTGTAGTGCAAATAGGTGATTTTTTTTTCCACTCATCTATTCCTTAGTGATTTCTCTCCTTCCCGCTCTATACTTTCAGTGATGAAAGTCAGTATACCAGAGTGCTCACTGTTCCTTTTTTATTTATTTAATTTGTGAGGGAAAAATTGTGCAAGGTTCTGTTGTTGATTTGAATGTGCTTAGGACAGAAGCCCATGATCAGCCTTGGCTTATATTTAAAATTCAGAAGGTGAAACTTGTCAGAGAGGAGTTTGTTAAAGGAAAGATCCAGCTATTGCTGTGTCTATTTGAAAGAAATGAAGTTTCTCAATATATAAGTATTTCTTTCTCTGTGCATTCCTCCCCGATAGAATCTATGCAAAATTATATATGCAGGATATTTTAAATATTGATATAAAGGTAGGAGGAAAGATATTTAACTATATAATTATTTTTCTTTTTAATTCAGATATGGTATTATTGTTAAGTGCTGTCCAGTAGACTATAACTCATAGTGACCCTGTGAACAACAGGTCTGTACCCTGCCTTGTCCTGTGCCATCCTCGCCATTGCTGATACACTTGAGCCCATTGTTACAGTCACTGTGTCAATCCATCTTCTTGACAGTCTTCCTCTTTTTCACCTGCCTTCCACCTTTTCAAACCTGGTATAGTTTTTCAAGAACTGGCCCTTCTAGCAAGCCCAAAGTATGTGCAATGAAGTTTCACCATTCTTGTCTCTAAGGAGCATGCTGTTTGCACTGTCTCCAAGATGTATTTTTTTGTTCATTTGACAGTACATGGGATACTCCATATTCTTCTCTAACATTATAATTTAAAGGCATTTTCTTTATAATCCTTAGTTATTGTTATTTCACATAGATAGCCAGTACTTGAAAAGACTATGGGTTGGATCAGATATACTTTAGTCTTTTTTTTTTTTTTTAGCCTCTTTTTTTTAAAAAAAAATTTTTATTTTATTGGGAAAAACATGGAGATACAAGGAGGTGAGGGTTGGGAGCAGAAGGGTGACGATGGACAGGGATGAAATTGCAGGGATGCACAGTTTAGTTGGTGGGGGAAGCAGGTGAAGGAAATGAAGTGGATCCAGTGGGGACCAGATGATTCAGGGCAATGGTAAGCATAGTCCAAATGGTGATTAAATAAATTGTCTTATTCACTTGTGGGTTTTTCATTTGGGAACTGGGCGCAGACTCTCTGGCTTCTTCATGCTGAACAGGAGCGTAGATGTAAAGGGGGGAAGGGAGGACGCTTTATCACCTTACTGGTGGTCTTGGGTTAAAGCTGCTTGCCTTCTTGTTCTGTTAGAAGATATTTTCCTGACATTTACTCCCCTCTGGACTGCAAAGTGTTTTCCCAGGTGGGTCCAGTGGGGATGGCTGACTGAACCCTGAGGCTCCATCCTCCTTTGTGTCCTTAGCTGGCAGTTGTCTTTCCTTTTTGTCTCTGGATCTGGGTTCAGGGTCAGGTCTGGACTGAAACACAGTGTTAAGGTTACCTATAGGAAAGGGAGCAAACCTAGAGAGAACAAACTTGTGAGTTACATATAGAAGAGCTTTGGAGATGTTACTTACAGGTGTACTGGAGGAGAGGGTGGAGGAAGTTAGCATAGATAAAATTCTCTGTACACCCTAGGCAGTTTTTCCTACCCAGGGGTTGGATGGCAACCCCTGAGGGCTGAAGAGCTCACCCCTAGGGCTGGCTCACCCTGAGGGCCGGAATGGCATCCCCACCCCACCCCCGCCCTGGGCCAGGTGACACACCCTCGGGACTGGCTGGCACACTGCCCCACCAAAGTCTGGACTCCACACCTCACTGACAACCATGTGGCCAGGGACAGCGTCCCCATTTCCAGCACCGCCATCATAATGTAATTTGAAGTAGGTTGTCACTGCCCTCCCCCTTTATAAATGAAGAAGGGGACCAGAGAGTGGTGAACAAACCCTTTCCAGGTCTAAACAGTTCTTGGCAGATGCAGTCAACAGATCAACAGATGCAGTGCATTGAGGATATCTGCCGTCTTGGACATGCTGCCACTGTTAAGTGTTGTCAACTCGTAGACAGCTCACAGTGACTCTCATCAATCCATTGTATTGGTGATCTTCCTCTCTGGCCTGCCCAGGGAAACCCCAACCTGCCGCTGTATCTCCCGCCGCCACCATCTTGGCTTCAAGAATTCTCCCCAGAACAAGTCCACTCTGCGGTTTTGGTGTGGTGGCTCCGCTGCACTGGCAGGGGCGGGGGCGGGGGGGAAATGTGCCTACCGTCCATCCCAGGTGAGGGGATCACTGGGGTCTAGTGGTGGGAGCCTCATGGAGCTGCAGTGGCAGTGCGGGGTCCAGTGGTGGGAGCCTCATGGAGCTGTAGTGGCAGTGCGGGCTTGGCAGCAGGGGGCTGGGAGCTGCAGGACTCACCCATTCCTCCCTGGGAATCCTTGATTTCCTGATGTTGATCCTCGATCTGCACCAAAGACCAGTCATCAACTGTTTAACTGTTCAATTATCAATAAACAGAGCTCTGTAGAAGGCCATGGCTGCCCTCCTCCATGTGGTCCACTGCTCCTGCAGCTTGCCAGGCTGTTGCCACTGCTGCCGCCATCTTGGGATCACACCTTTGTCTTTAAACTGGCATCTTTGCTCCTTAAAATTTTAGACAAATCTCTTAACAGACTATTTTTCTGGCCTGGTGGCAAGAAGCTGCACTGTAGTCCCACAGGTACACAGTTCAAATCCACCAGATGCTCTGCTGGAGAAGGAGGGACAATCTCTTCCTAAACCAGTCAGATCTGATTTGACGGTACACACAAAATATTTTTCTAAAGAGATAACATCGTTTGATTTCTTGACTACTGATACCAATAATGTTGTCTTTTGGCTTAGTGATGAGGGCTTTATTTTTTTAATGTAGAGATGTAGTCTGTGTTGAAGACTGTAGTCTCTGATCTTTTGCAGCAGGTCTTTCCTCTTCAGTTTCATTGAACAAGATTGTGTCATCTGTATAATATAAGATGTTGATGAGTCTTCTTGCAATCATGATACCACGTTCTTCTTCATAAAGTCCAGCTTCCTGAATGATTTATTCAGATTGAATAGATTCAGAGCAAGTAATACAGCTTTGATGTACAACATACTTTTCTTGATTTTAAATAATGCCAGTGTTTTCGTGTTTGGACAACAGTCTCTTTGTCTAAGTATACATTTCACAGGAGCACATATAAATATTCTAGGATTCCCATTATTTTAAATGTCAGCCATAATTTGTTGTGATCCCCACCTCAATACATACCTTTTATAAAGACTTTCTGTGAAATTGGGGATAGATAGAGATATAGATAGATATAGATGCTCTGGTGGCCTTGTAGTAAGAAGCTGCACTGCAATCCCAGAGACACACAGTTCAAATCCACCAACTTCTCTATGGGAGAGTTTGGGCAGTCTCCTGTGTGATTTATTGCCTCTGAAAACCCACTGGAGAATCAGCTATGGATTGGTTACAACACAATGACACACAACAACAATATTTATATCTGTATTTTTGAGATAGTGAATTTCAAGATACTTAAAATTACTCTACTCTCTATTTATTCTTCTTGTTTTGGGTTTCTTTTTCCTATTCTTGGAATCAGTAATGTGGTTTATTTCTGGTTTTCATAGTTCTGGGACAATTTGGACCACACGATGTTTTTCCAAGATTTTAGACCATTTCTAAGTAGCAACCCATTGGACCAAGATAATCGAGGTAATGAGAGAGGTCATCAGACCCCTGACTTCTGGATACCTAGTCGTCCTTCACGGCTGCCACTGTCTCGGAGATACAGATCGCGAGGGAGTACTCGACCTGAAAGATCCCCAGCTATTGAAGGGTAAGTGCAAAAATTTTGTTGTGACTTCTCTTTAAGGGTACTTTTAATAAAAGACATATTGTCTTGGGGAGCTCTGGTGGCCTAGTGGCAAGGAGCTGCAACTACAATCCCAAGGGCGAACGGTTCGAATCCACCAGATGCTCTGCCGGGGAAGGAGGGACGGTCTCCTCCTGTACCAGTCAGATCTGATTTGATAGTACACGCACACAAAAGTAATAAAATAAAGAAAAAAGAAGTTTAAAAAAAAAAAGACATATTGTCTTAAAAAGAATATGATCTTTATAAAATTCTCATACTTATTGCCTTTGAGGATAAGATATAGGTTTGTTGAAAATGAAACTAAACTGAAAGTTTTTAGTTACTTAGTACCAGCTAATTGAGTGATGATAAATATGGAAATACTAAAACCAATGATGTAAGTCTCTAGATAATGTTTGGATAAAGGTGATATGTATGTTTATCAAAGAAGATACTGAAAGGGATATAAAATATATTGGATGAGTGTCAGCATCCCAAAAGATCAAAGCTGTGAAATTAATTGTAAATTTACCCTGAATTACAGTGAAAATAAATGTAAAATCTCATGACTACAGAAATATATGTACAGCAAATTTTTACTCTCTTTTATGTATGGAATTCTTTACTGGGCACTGTGGTTTATTGTGATCAAAATAGTCGCTTGATCCTGATTTTGTGAATTCTACCTAATGGGAATAGTAAATATTAACTTTCAGAAACTTGCTATTTGTGCAGGACTGTGTTCCATGTTTATCTCATTTAATCTGTTTGAAGCCATAGATGCAATATTAAACTCGTTTTTTTGTAAGGATAAACCGAGAGTCAGAAATATAAAAAGTGACTATTATTAAGACTCATAAAGAATAGCTATTACAGGGTGCTCTGGTTGGCCTAGTGGTACAAAGTTGCGCTGCCAACCCAAAGGCACATGGATTGAATCAACCACCTGCTCTGTGGGAAATAAAATGGCAGTCTCTCCCCCTGGGATTAACTGCCTCTGAAAACCTGCTGGAGGATCAGCTATAGATTGGTTCCAACTCTGTGATCCACAACAACAGCATCATTATTGGGGCTAGCACTTGAACTCAGGGATGCATAAACCTAGAGCTATGCTGTCCAGTATAGCAGCCACTAGCTACATGTTGTGCCTGTATCAATTTAAATTAAAATGAAATAAAATCTGAAGTTCTTCATTAACGCTAGTCACATTTCAAATGTTCAGTAGCCACAATTAATATATAGTTATATTGACAGCACATAATATACATCATTTCATTTCCCTAATTCCAGAAAGTTCTATTCAATTGTATCTTTTAAACTTTGTGTATTTTAACCTTTCCCAGTAAGAAGTACTGACATTTTACTATACTTGCTTTATCACCTGTATGTTTATCTCTCTAAGAGGGTTACCATTATCTTTCCAGTCTCATATAGGTAATTCTTCACTAGTACTCAGTGCTCACACCAGACAGTTTTTTATTGTGCTATATTGTTGTGGGAAGAGGACTTGGTGGAATAGTTTCAGTGCAAAGTTAAAAAAGTATATCTAGGTGATAGGTTCAGTGGTCTTTCCAGTCTCCGTGTGCTCCATTGTCTGATTTTCAATGAGAATTTGAAATTTTATTCTGTAATTTTCCTCTATTTAAGTTCCAGTTAATGGATCCCTCAGGGCTGAGCATCGTCTTTCTTTCTCCCCCCCCCCCATGGTAAGATAATGGTTGATGGAGGTAATTAGGGCAGGAAGTCATTTCCTTATCCAGAGGTCTTCCTGTGTTGCTCCAGGCAGATAAAGACCAATTGTTGTATCTTGACTAGACATTTGAAAACTTTTAAGATCCCTGGGCTCTAACTACTGAATTTGAAGTAAGAGCAGAAACTCTTACTAAGCCAATTGACTGGATAGGCCCATGGAACTACCACCCCAAACTCCCAAACCAAGATACTAACACCATAATATTTCTATGTGTACCTAAGTAGTATCATCACCACGCTGTGTTCCTGGGTGGACTCGAATCAACCTTTAGATTAATAGCTGAGCATGCTGTAACCAGAACAGTGTGCAAAAGGGAGGTCTGATGGCATAGTGGTAAGGAGGTAGGTTGCAGTTTGAATCCAACAGCTGCTCCTTGGAGAAAGATAGACAGTCTCTTCTCATGTAATTAAACCACTTCTAAAAAACCACTGAAAGGTCAGCTATGATATGGTTCAGAGTTTAGGGCAAACAGCAGTATCAACAGCTGCAGCATTTTTTGTTTGTTTTTACCACTATTTCTGTTGTAAAATTAAGTGCTACACTTTTTTAACACTAGTATTTTGATTAATGTTCTATACTTCACTCCAGTGGTTTAAGCCTTCTTCCTGATGATACAAAAGACAGAATAAAGATAGAAACTAGAGGAGATCATCAGACTGAGGCCTAGGCCCTCAGTGGTTAGACTTTTGGGAGACTAGGAAGATACCAAAAAAATCTGTCTTGGAAGAAGTGCAGCTAGAATGTGCCTTAGAAATGGAATTGGTGAATCTTTGCCTCACATACTTCGGGACATGTTACTGGTCTCTGAGAGATATCACACTTGGTGAATTAAGGGTCAGTGAAAAAGAGGAAGACTCGCAATGCGATCAACTCAGTGGCTACACAGCAGGGATTGTGAGATTGGCTCAGGATTGGACACTGTTCTGTTTTACACGGAATTGCTGAGTCAGAGTTGACTGGACAACCTCTGACAACAAGCAGAAGAGGCAGAGGAGAGCAGTCAGGGAGGTAGGCAGAAGAGATTCAAGTTTGGAATCTAAGGGACAGCTTTGGTATTTGACTGTTCTTGATATTTGACTTCCCACCCAGAACTTTCTCACCACTGGGCCAATTGGCAGCATCAGTATGGATGGTGAAGAGATTGAGATAGTTAACAGTTTTAGTTTGCTTGGCTCCATAGTCAACACTCTTGGTAACAGCCGCCAGGAAATCAAGAGACGAATTGCATTGGAAAAGTTAGCTGTGAGGGACCTCTCAAGAGTACTGAAGAGCAACGATGTCGGGCTGGAGAATAAGGTGTACCTAATCCGGGCTATAGCCTTCGCAATTATATGCTATGCATCAGAGACTTGAACAGTGAATAGGGATGATAGAAAGAGAATGATGCCTTTGAGCTGTGGTGCTGGAGAAGAGTGAATATACCATGGACTGCTAGGAGAACAAACAGGTTTGTACTAGAGAAGGTGAAGCCAGAATGCTCCTTGGAATCAAGGATTCTGAAGCTTCGTCTGACATACTTTGGGCATGTTGCAAGGAGGGACTGGAAAGGGACATCATGTTTGGCAGAGTGGAGGGGCAGCTAAGGAGAGGAAGACCTTCGATGAGATGGATCGATTCTGTGAGTGGAGTGGTGGGAATGAGTGTGTTTGAGATGGCTAGGTTGGCACAGGATAGAATGGTGTTTAGAGCTCTTGTACGTAGGGTCGCTATGAGTTCCAAGCGACTCGATGGCACATAATAACAACAACAATCCAGAACTTGTAAATTAATTTTTTTTCTTTTATGTTGTTATGTGCTGTCAAGTTGAGAACAACTCATAATGAATGAGTCAGTGAACAACAGATGTGGACTCTGTCCTGTCCTGCACCATCTTCATAATTTCTGACATGCCACAGAGTGGCAGCTGGCTTTCTCTAGAACAAATCATTCAAGAAAGACAGATGAAGAAGAAAATACAATGCTTTTTATATTCTAGTCACCACAGTTTGTTTTCTCATCAAAAATTAGGTTTTTCCCAAAGTGTGATACAGAACTAAAAATCATAGAAGTATCCAGGCTTACTGATCTCATATAGATTGATGGAACCCTGAAACTATAACCTTTTGAGCCTGGAACTGAACCCACCCTGAGACTTACCTTTGATTCACATAAGCAAGCAGGCCTATAAGGTGAACCATTAACATCACTGAGGTATTCAGCCCTTAAAAAAAAACAACAAAAAACTGAAACCAAAAACCAATTATGCATAATTGGAAGGGCAGCATTTGCTGAGAGGTAAAACTCAGAAGGTAGGAAGGGAGAAGAGAACATGATTGGAAATGGTGACAGGGAAGAGATGTGAAGGGTGTTGATAATGCTGTGGGATTGTAATCAGTGTCATAAAAAGAATGTATATGAAAGGTTGAATAGAAGACTAAGATGCTCAGTAAATTTTCACTCAAGTGAAAATTAGAAGAATATTTTACTCCCACAAGCAAGATATACTTGTTATGTGCCATCGAGTCGCTTGAGACTCAGAGACACTATGTACAACAGCCCTAAACCCTGCTCTATCTTGTGCCAGTCGCACTACCTTTGACACACCCATCCCGATCACCCCAGTCACTGAATCAATCCACCTCATAGAGGGTCTTCCCCTCTTGGGCCGTCCCTTCACCCTCCCAAGCATGTCCCTCTAAAGGACCTGTCCCTCCTTACAGCATGTCCAAAGTATTTCAGACGAAGCCCCAGAATCCTTGCCTCCAAGGAGCAGCCTGGTTTAACTCTCTCAAGGATTAATCTGTTTCTTTTCTTGGCAGTCCATGGTACATTCAAT